GTGGAGAGACACATCCAGGGCCATTTCACAAGTGACGCAGAGAACATTAAATGTGCATGATGATGGCATTACTGTACATGAATTATTTTCCCTTGGGCTCCCAAAATCCATGCGGGAAATCTATCATGGATAATATTTAGCAGACATGTGGGGGGCTCCAGTTTTTTCTTTTTCCTTTTCCCTTCCTTTGGAAGTGGATGCTTCTAATCTGAAAGGTTGTAATCATATATGATCAAGATTTGAACTGCCAAATTGCAGTCAGCCGGCAGTCAGCAGAAGTAGCCTGCAGTACTGCACTCTAACCACTGCGCCACCGTGGCTCACTTAGTATGACTAAGTAGTTATTTCAAAGAGGGTCACTAGACTCTATGGGCAAAGGTAAGCCAAGCCCAAGAGTTCTGCTCTTTTCTGGATCAAAATATTTGAACATTTTCTCCTGAAATGTTTTCTCAATTTTACTTCCCACGAAGTAGATTTCCTTTTCTTGAAAAATGATTGCAAATAGATCAGTATAGACCTGCACATCCCAAGATGTTTTCTTAAATAGATGATTCACTTTCAAAAAGGGTATATATAGCAAAGGGTGTCAAACTCGATTTCATTGAGGGCCGCATCAGAGTTTTCTTTGACCTTGGAGGCCAGGTGAGCACAGCCAGGGTGGGAACGGACAGCTTGATGTCACTTGTGTTGGAGATGCCTGTGGTGGCTTGATGCCTGTGGTACCTCTGCCAGTGAAAACAGAGCTCAGGATGCTGTAACGCAGTGGTGGGATTCAAAATTCTTTGCTACCAGTTCTGTGGGCATGGCTTGGTAGGCGTGGCAGGGGAAGGATACTGTAAAATCTCCATTCCCTTCCCACTCCTGGGGGAAGGTTACCTCCAGTTCTTTGAACTACTCAACATTTCTGCTACCGGTTCTCCAGAACTGATTAGAACTTGCTGAATACCACCTCTGTTGTGAGCGCCTCCTGTAACTCTCTGCCAGTGAAAATGGAGCTCAGGCAGAGGGTTGCAGGAGGCTGTTACAGCCTCCTGAGCTCTGTTTTTGCAGGCAGAGGTACCGCGGGCCGGTCCTTTGCTGTTTCCAGGGCAGCCTCGTGGGCCAGATCTAAACACCCCGTGGGATGGATCTGGCCCATGGGCCGTGAGTTTGACACCCCTGGTATAGCAGTTTAAAATGGTTTGTCATAGTGAGCAAATTAGATACCAGATGTTAATATAAAACTCACTTTCCAGTTGCATTCTCACTTGAATTTTATAATGAATGCCTAGGGCGTACTGTACCTGTTTAGACAGAAGCAGTGGCATTCTTGCTGAGAAAGAAAATGCATGCTAACAAATCTAAAACTGCTGAAAAGGCACTTGCGGTTTACCTGTAGGGCACCTGGTATTGCACATATGGTCCTATGAATTTGTGCAATTTTTTTATTTTATTTTTAAAAAGCATAACATTTTCAGCACCCCTAGGTATACCCCTGGAAAACCTCAGTGCACGAAGGTACTCTTGAGATCACTTGCAAAAGTTCTTCTAGGATCTGAGATTGAGGCTACAGTTTGGATGGCTAAGCTTTTTGTTCATTTGCCAAAGGTCATAAATGTAGAAATGCTACCTGCTTTTTGTACAAGGAAAACCTAAGGAGACTTAATGGTTTAAGATGGGCTGAACAGAAAGCCAGCCTGAGTGGTATTGTGTCACCAGCAGTAGTTCATCATATGCCACACACTGCATTCAGATCTTAACAGAAGTGAAACTTACAAAATTAAAATGACAAAATTCTATTTTAGAATAACAAAAGCTTAGTTTCATCATTAGAAGCAGTCTCTGCATTTGTACGTATTGCTACTGATACAGTGGTACAGGCCATCCAGGCACTAGTTCTTACAGGATTTTAATTTTACTGTTTGTTGTGAGATGTAATTTACTGTCATATAGACATTGCTTTAATTATAACCCACGTAATATGAGTGAAAGTTCTAACTAAATTATTTTCTTTGTTGGAGTGTATTTTACTTCTGTTCTTAGAGTAAATTAAAGCTAAAGCAGTGGCATAAAGAATTGTCTGAGCAGGGGTGTGACATCAGTGCATTTACATTCTTGTGGATACTAATGAATGGTTTTATGATGTTACATTTTGCCTACCTGATCCTTGAAATTGCATTTCTGTTATGCAGTTTGTCCCTCATTCAAGAATGTTTTCCAAACACTGTAAAATCAGCATTATTACCAGCAGGATTTAAGTTAGTCAGGATCACCTTCCCATAAACCTCAATGGGATTATAGGTACTCCTCAGTTATTGTTAGAAATTGGGATCAACGTCTCCATCACTAAGCAATGCAGTCATAAAGTGCAATGTCACATGACCATGCCAACATGGGGTGATAATTTTGGAAGTCCCAGTTGCTACCTAGGCAAATCCCACTGCCACATGATTGCCATTTCTGACTCCCTAGCTTTAGTCTGATGAGATCCATGTCAGACCTAAGCTCAAAGATAAATGACAAGGTGAGATCTAATTGAATTCTGTTCTTTATTTGCTTATACCTAATAGACAGATTCTAGTTAAAGTAAAGCTACAATCTTTTAACCTAATTGTCTATGGCAAGGGTGTCAAACTCACACCGACACGTCATGTGACGTATCACAACTCCCCCCCCCCCTTTGCTAAACTGGGAGTGAGTGTGGTCAGTGTGTGACACATCCGGCCCACAGACCACAAGTTTAACACCCCTGGTCTATGGTCATCCAGGTCATCCAGTTCATGGTTGTCCCAGAGGTGCTTTTTCAAGAGGCACCTGGACTTTCTGGTAAAACATCTTCAAAGAAAAACAAGAAAGTCCAGGTGCCTCTTGAAAAAGAATCTTTGGGACTCCTAACCTAATATGCCTGGTAATTCTAGGATTATAGCTATCCTCAAACTTTTTGCCACTGCCCATCCAATTTGGGACTATGCAGTCCCTTGTTTTCAACTTTTCTTTGGAATGTGCTGCCCCCTCTCTGGAAAGTCATGGTGCTACTGTCAAAATTCTTCCTTGTACACATACACACTCCTTCTCCAGTTGCACAGTCCATCATAGGAAGACCTTATCTTACCTTGATTATTGACAGTGCCTCATCATGCTATGGGTGTGGGCAAATTCCCCGTGTAGAAAAACACTGAAGATTTTAATCATGTTTTTAAAACAATATGAAATGGTACACCTAAATGTAAAAATCAGGTTTCAACAAAAAAAAATCCATCATTAGAGCAAAATGTTATTTACTGAGGTAGGTGAGTATCACACTTCTGATTTCCTACTGGAGTATCATAGTTTCCCTAATTTCAACAAAAAGGGTTTACCAAGTTCATCCTGGAAGAAGCCTTAAAAAAAATTGTAATCCATGTGTTTCTTTCTCAAATTCTCTCTTCTATTTCTCACTTACTACCTTGAAAACTGTCAATTTTAAAATTCAGGGCAACTAGATGGTTTTTGAAAAGGAAGACAAGAATAAAATAGAACTGCTTAACTCTTTCTGTTCCTCCCTCAAGCTGGAAAAGGGAAGGTAGAGAAAGGCAAATCATGTGCAAATAGCCAGTTTGACCCAGTGGTTAAGGCACCAGGTTAGAATAGCAATAGCACTTAGACTTATATACCGCTTTGTAGTGCTTTACAGTCCTCTCTAAGCAGTTTACAGAGTCAGCATACTGCCCCCTTCAATTCGTGTCCTCATTTTACCAACCTTGGAAAGATGGAAGACTGAATAAACCTTCAGCTGGTTAGAATCGAACTGCTGGCAGTTGACAGAGTTAGTGAAAATACTGAATTCTAACTAGTGTGCCATCATGACTGGGAGAAACCGGGAGACTGAGTTGTTTTAGATATGAAAAGTGGCTGGATAATTTTGGACCTATCACTATCTCTCAGCCCAGCTCACCACATAGGAGTTGTGGGTAAAATAGGAGGAAGGACTATTAGGTATATTTGCTGCCTTGAGTTAGTTATAAAAATAAAGGTGGATTATAAATAAATAAGAAGAACATGAAAAAGGACACACTTCCGATCATACAAGCACAGCCATTAACTTGAACATTTTGATCCTTCCTGCAGACACAAACATTAAAATGTGGCAACAACTTTCAAGATGCTTTAGAGGTGATACACAAACTTAAGACTGCTACCCATGGCTGGCTGCAGAGGCTGGTGCATTTATTGATAAACAACCATGAGCTACCACACTGTCACAGAAAAGAAGAGATATACAGTATAACCATTCTTTATTACATATGACAACTCTCTTAAACATCCTTCCTGGCTTTTTAGGACTATTTTACACATGCCACAGGTTTCATAACATAATGGAAAGACACAGGGTTATTAAACAGCATTCACAGTAGGGCCATTGAGAAATGAGGTGGAAGAGAACAGAAACACAATTTGGTTGTTTTGGAAGCACCTTGTTTCAGTGTTGACTATACTACAGTGTTGATATTTCCCAGAACTGAAAACATTAGGTTCCTCAGCAAGCTCTGACTAGTTTATATCATCCCTGGCTCAGATCCAGAAAGGGAAAAAGAAAATAAAAGCGGAAAAGCTACAAGCTTTGATTCCAATCATGACCCTGACAAATTATCACCATCTGTGTCAGCTGAAGGAAATGTCAGCTAGCTGACTCTTAAGCCACTTAAGAAAGAGGATAAATGGTCCTTTCAGTGATAGCTGTTCAATTCACAACCAGAAAAAAAGAATCCCAAGGAAGTGCACATTCTTGCTTCATAGGACTGCAAATATTTCTGTAAACTAGAGCAGTGGTTCTCTTATCCAGTGTTGCCCAATCGAGAGCAGGATTAAAACCATAATCTTCTTTGTGGGAATCATACTTAGGTCATTTTGGTAGAAAGCACCAATGTCCTTATTTTACACTTCAGCAGTTGAATAGTCTGGGTTATTTTCTCCATCCAACTGCCTCACAAAAGGCATCAAGAAGCAGAAGTGTGGGTTGGTTTTATTTAACATCGTGCTGCCTAATATTTGGATTCGTCAGGCCTGAGCTTGGTCATTTTATCAATGCAGAAGATGATAAGGGTGAGAAACCAGAGACTCCAGCCAACCGCTGCAGCAATCCAACCGTACCCATCCATACCATTCTGGCAACAGGTGGTTGCTTCAGAGCAGAATTCAGGATCTGAGGCACAGGAAGAGAAAGGTGTTTTCTCTATCTTTATTATTGTATATCAGAGGTTCAAAGCACATGCCTTCAATCACCATCACACTAATAATAAATACCCCAGAGACTTTGCAAAATTCCAAATTAATTTTTAAAAGTTTCTTTAAATTACTGAAATCCGTTTTTAATGGTTCCGCTTAGAAAACCAGGGTCTTAGTAGCTAAGATTTTGTGACATTTTGACAAGCTCTGTCTGCAATTAGTTCAGTGATTTATCAAAACCCACAGAACTGATTTGAGCAGCAAATTCTGATTTGGTTAATTTTAATTAAATGCCATGTGAATGTAGCCAAACTAGAGCCATCCAGTAGGGTGGGACCAGAACTCTTTGTCTCCAACCCATGAGGAGACAGTGGGTTACCCCAACATTATCTGCATGACATTAAACAGGTTGGAGAACTTCCCAAAAGAATTACCAAAAATTCTTCCCAAATTTTCCTGACTTAGAAACTTGCATTTCAAAAATATGCCTCCTTCCAGCATCACTGTGAATACTTACGAGAACATGAAAAATTGGTAGATCCTACTTCCATCTCTAGAAGAAGAAGAAAGAACAAAATTGAGTTTGAAGGTATCTTTCTAGAGGAAACTCAACTTGTAAATCCACATCCTCAACTTTGGAAACACTTTAGTGAACATTTATTGTTAAGAAGGTATTACTGTTTCTAATTTCATGGTGTTCCCCACCAGACAGTTAAAATATATTGCACTGATCATTGATATTATTTATATAACACTTTAAATTATATTTCTTTTCTAATCCCTAAAATGATTCTGCAAGAGAAATCATCAGCTGCCTGGCCTGTTTAAAGATGAGAAGAAAGAAGAGAGAGGGTGGAGGATGGGGATAGGCAGGCAGGAAAGAGTCCCACAGGTTGATATTATAGGCTTAAATTCCCAGCCAGCACTAACATTTATGTAAGACCATACATTAGGCATAGAAAATCTTTTGATTGCTGTAGCTAACTTTATCATTTGGGGAGATTTTGAAGGTTGCATTAGGTAAGATAAGAATGAAAATAGGTGGAGCTGGGATTTTTAAGTTCTTATTTTCTTGGGAGTTTTTTGGGTTTCCCTTTTTCTTTTACCATGTTATTTTTACATTGGGAAGTAACAGATAACAGATAATCAGAGTTGGAAGGGACCTTGTAGGTCATCTAGTCCAAACCCCTCCCCCGTCCAAGCGGGAGACCCTACACCATTTCTGACAAATGGCAGTCCAATCTCTTCTTGAAAGTCTCAAGTGATGGCGCTCCCACAACTTCCGAGGGCAAGCTGTTCCATTGGTTGATTGTTCTCACTGTCAGAAAGTTTGTCCTTATTTCTGGGTTAAATCTCTCCTTGTTCAGTTTCCATCCATTATTCCTTGTCTGACCTAAAGGCACTTTAGAAAATAGATTGACCCCTTCCTCTCTGTGGCAGCCTCTCAAATATTGGAAGACCACTATCATGTCTCCCCTGGTCCTTCTCTTTACTAGACTAGCCATGCCCAGTTCTTGTAACAGTTTGTTGTATGTTTTAGCCTCCAGTCCCCTAATCATCCTGGTTGCTCTTCTCTGTACTTTTTCTAGAGTTTCAACACCTTTTTTATAATGTAGTGAACAAAACTAGATGCAATAGTCTAGGTGTGGTCTTAGTAAGGCTTTATAGAGTGTTATTAGTACCTCACTTGATCTTGATTGTATCCCTCTGTTAATACAACTTAGGATTGCATTAGCTTTTTTGGCTGCTGCTGCACACTGCTGGCTCGTATTTAGCTGGTTGTCCGCTAAGACTCCAGGATCCTTCCCATAGTTACTGCTGTTGTATTAAGTACACAAAAGTCTGTTTCCTTTGCCAAATGGCAAGAGACATCCCACCAGTTGTTAGCAATGGTGGTTAAAAGTGGCTTCAGGACTATCAGAAAGCAACATATTTGGGCCCAGATTGTTCACCTCAGGCTAAATGATATAGGATCATACCATGCAGGGCTGTATGGTGCTCCAGATTCAAGAGGGGAGGGGAAATTTGTGCAGATGTGGTATTCAGCAGGTTCTGACCAGTTCTGGAGAAGAGTAGCAGAAATTTTGAGTAGTTCGGAGAACCAGCAAATACCACCTCTGACTGACCCTACGCCATCTATTCTCTGCCTCCCAAGTCCCAGCTGATTGGCTGGGTCGTCTTTTGTTGCCCTGCACAGGAGAACAGAGCTGGAAAGCAGGTTAGTGGGGTGGGGAGGGAATGGGATTTTGTAACAACCTTCCCCCCAGGAGTGGGGAGGGAATGGGGATTTTGCTGTATCCTTCCCCTGCCATGCCCAACAAGCCACGCCCACAGAACCGGTAGTAAAAAAAAATTGAATCCCAAATTTTTGAATTTGTGTATATGTGCATGTTTCACCAGTCTACAATTCCTTAAACAAAATTGGACTTGAAAAATCAGACCTGACACTGAAATAGAATGGTGAACTCAGAAAAAGATGTAGCTTGTTTAAAAAGAGTTGCCAACAGAGCAGACTCCAAATCACCTTTTCTTTCTGAATCTAGGTCATCCTATATCACTAATACAAGGGTGTTTATGGCAAATTGTACATTTTAATGGCCTTTTAGGTTAGTGAAACACTTTTCCTTCTTCTACCTTACCTAATTTCATCAGCACTGGCTGGCTGGCTGAGATTTTTCTCTTTACGTTTTCCTTCAACCTGCTATCTGAACAAAACCTAGCAAAAACATTCTTCAGACAAAGCACACAGCTTGCCACTGAGCTAGAATTCCATTATATTTTACAGAGTTTTGATGTCATTCCTTCCTTTTCATTAACAAATGCCTCCCACAGAATGAAGTTCTTAAATTCTTTTGCAGCCAACTGTAAACAGTATTTTTAGTACTATATCTAAGATCAAACTTTTGCACCTCGCTGTTCCAATTGAAATATATTTTGCTCTTTATGAACTAAAAATATCAGAAAGAATGACCTAGTCCAAAAACAACTTCTTCTTCCCTTTCCCTTCCTCCTCCTCCCCCCTCCTTTTAAGTCTTCTCCTTCTCCTTCTTTTAAGTCTTTGGGTTTCATATTTCCATAATAATGGAGGTTGTCTTTTTCACTTAAGAGATCTCGGTATTGCATCTTCTTTTTCTGTTCAGGTATGGCTGCAAATGAAGGCAGCATTCATGGGAATCTTCAGCTGTTGAATTACTATTTTAATCATTCATTTGCTTAGGAGGTATATCAGATCTACCTTCCTTAGAATTGTGATTATTTAAAAATCAATGAAATAAATAACCTATGTATTTTTCGTAGCAGCTCCCTATCATCACTTGCTATCCAGTACACCTTTCTTTTCCTTTCTTCCCTGGCTTTTCCTATCCCAGGAATGTGATCCAACACACTACTCTGAATTAATCTTTTTTCTCCATTACTTGCATGTCTACTGCCAATCCTCAATTTTATGATACGAATCAAGAGTATAGCCTCTTTTGCTCTCAACATTTTCCCTTCACAGTCAAGAGAAAAAACATTGCTGAGTAGATTCCCTTAGCTGACCCAATATGAATTTTCTTCAGAATGAAAATGTAATACTTTTCTCCCTTAGAAGCTGTTTTTTCAAATTAATATTTGCAACACTGAACAGCTAGAAATAACTGTAAGACAAAATTCACTAAGAGAAAGGGGAAAAAAAAACCCAACAGCACATTTCTAAACATAGCACAGTTATTTTGTAAACATCTCTCCCAAACTCTTATTTCCAAATGTTCTAATTGTGCCATATTCATGCTAATCTCCTAACCGCAGTGTTAACTATGATAAATCATGAGACAATTGGTCACCTTTTGAAAATGCGTTCTGGCAAGCTGAAGAGAGCAAAAGAATAGAGAAGGCAATACAGTTCAATGCCTCCATCTCAGGATTTGGGATTCCAGCAGCAACTGTTGTCCTAATGAGTCTCAAAGCTACCAACATCAACCAGCAATAAAAGGGAAGGATCCAATGCAAAGTCAAGTGTTGAATCCAGATCTGTGGGTGGAGTTAATTCCTGCTATGCTTGGACACCTTGAGTTCACCAGTAGCCAAACAGTTTAATTCAAGCAAAAGCTCCTCTGAGGCTGGGCAAGACTTACAAGGAAGTCTTGCAGGAAAGTTAATAACAAACAGAAGATTCACATTTGCAGCAGTTCTATTTCCACAGGTTGATTTGGTTTTTTAAGGACACGTTGCATTCGTGTTGTATAAATTAAAAGGGTCTTCAAACTTCACAAGTTTAAGACTTGTGGACCTCAACTCCCATAATTCCTGAGCTAACATGACTGGAAGAGGAATTCTGGGTGTCCACAAGACCCCTGGCATATAAGAAGGAAGGAAGGAACTGGGTTTGGATGTTTTTAAAAGAGGAGGCCAATTATCTTGGCCTCCCTAACACAGGGAAAGGGCCCCAATTTAGCATATGAAATTATCACATGGGTTATATTTTTTATTTACCACAACAATGTTAGTCAATTTTAAAGCTATCCCAAACTATTTTTCCATACATTCCTGATTATTGGACCACTAACTTCAATCAAGAAAAATTGCCATAGCTAAGAGGCAGCAAGAAGATAAAATAAATAAATAAACTTTTTGCCTCTGGCAGTTTAGCATTTCAGAAAGATCCTGATGGGGTATTACCTACTAGCTACGTTTAGACACCATCCTTCATTGAATTGACCAATGACTGTGCTTGCTTGATATATTGCAAATCAAATTATGCGGTTGTAAGTGTGAATCAGTGGTGGGATTCAAATTTCTTTACTACCGGTTCTGTAGGCATGGCTTGTGGTTGTGGCAGGGGAAGGATACTGTAAACTCTCCAGTCAGAGGTAGTATTTGCCGGTTCTCCGAACTACTCAAAATTTCCGCTACCAGTTCTCCAGAACTGGTCAGAACCTGCTGAATGCCACCTCTGGTGCGAATCCAGCTTAATTTATGGTGTTTTTTTTTCCAGAAGCTAGGAAAATAAAAAGACAAATTGAAACCACATGATTATAGGATGCGGCCACCAGTTGTAAAGGAAAACTGATTGTCAAACACCTGAAGTATGGCAATAGCAGGGTGGGAAGGGGAACGGTTGTAAATTCAAATCTAGGTCACAACTGACTTTTTTTTTGGAAGCCATCATTAATTTGAACCATCGTTAAGTGAATGGTCATAAATCAAGTAGTATAGGTAGTCCTCAACTTACAACAGTAATATGATCAAAATTCAGATGTTTGGCAACTGGTTCATATTTATGATGGTTGCAGTGTAGTGTCCTGGGATCACGTGGTCACCTCTTGCGACCTTCTGATGAGCAGTCAATGGGGAAGCCAGATTCATTTAACAACCATGTTACTAACTTAATTTCAGTGATTCACTTAACAACAGTGGCCAGAAAAGTCATAAAATGGGGCAAAACTCACTGAACAAATGTTTCACTTAACAACAGAATTGTTGGGCTCAGTTGTGGCCATAAGTTGAGGACCACACATACCTTCTGTGTCATGTTTTGTTTTTCCAAGTATGAATCCAATTTGCTTACATTACATGAGCAAATATTTAACTGTAAATCAAGGCAGAAGAACAAGAACATGTAAATCTAGCTTTTTACCTAATCAAGATTGCTTTAGGTTTCAAAATTTACAATGCTTATGACAGCCTCCACCTGACTCCAGTGGGCTATTCTTGTTAGATCTGCCTTATTGTTTGTTGATATTATGGCTGGATGAGGATGGTTTGTTCTCCCTTTTCCATGCATGACACAGCCGTCGTATTTACACAGCAGTCAAATAGCTCATTGAACACCACAAAATAACATTCTTCTTTCAAGCCATGATCCCTTGATTCTTGAACTTGTTTTCCAAATATCCTCCTGTTTTTAATGTACACATGTGCACATTTCTATTTGCAAGAAATAGAAATATTTGAAACATTGGGTTTCATCAAAATTCAAAATACAGATTCCAATGTATATTTCTATTTTTTCTTCTGATTATATTGACTTTTCTCTAGATTTTGCACCTGAATAGTAATATACTCTGCACATTGCCAAAATGGAGAAGGAGGAAGAAGAGGAGAGCATCTTCTAAAGAACTAAAGAGTGGTATCAGTTTGCCTGATTTTAGATGAAAAATTAGAAGCAATAATAAGATTAAGAAACCTATATCCCCCCAATCTGATTATCTCTTGATTTGTTGAACTTCAGTTCCCACCATCACTTAGGACCCACTTGAACATTGGATGGGAAGCAAAATAAATTGCCTTAATTTCTTTCTCCAACTCTTGAGTGAAACAGCAGGTAGTCCTCAACCACAATTGAGCCCAAAATTTCTGTTGCTAAGTAAGACATTTGTTAAATGAGTTTTGCCCCATTTTATGACATTTCTCGCCACAGTTGTTAAGTGAATAGCTGTAGTTGATATGTTAGTAACCTTGTTGTTAAGTGAATCTGGCTTCCCCATTGGCTTTGCTGGTCAGAAGATTGCAATCACATGACCTTGGGACATAGCAATGGTCTTAAGCGATGGTGGGATTCAAATATTTTTACCACCAGTTTGGTGAGCATGGCTTGGTGGGCGCGTTTTGCACACCTGCACACACTTTGCATGCAGAGGCATTTGTGCAGGCGCAGAGGCATTCTAACTCACCTCCTGCAAGCCTGCACTCTCCCGGTCGCTTCAGCAGCTGCCGCACAGCACTCTCCTGTACCGCCAAAGCAGCTGCGCTTTAAATTCAGCGGATAAAGGTAAGTATGGGAGCTTGGGTGGGTGGGTGAGCCCAACAGCAGAGTGGCAAAGAGAACTGGTTTGGTCTCCGCTGCTCATCGCTGCTACCGGCTGGGCCAAACCGGTAGAATACCGCCCCTGGTCTTAAGTATAAAGCAGTTGGCAAGCATCTGAATTTGGATCACATGTCATGGAGGTGCTGCAAAGGTTGTAACTGTGAAAAACCGTCATAAGTCCCTTTTTTCAGTGCCGTTGTAACTTTGAACGGTCTCTAAATGAACTGCTGTAAGTTGAGGACTACTTCAGTGGCAGTATGGTTTTTTGGTTTTTTTTGGAGATTTTTAATAAACTTTATTTACAAGAATTAAAAACATACAAATTTTAAAAATGCAAAACCAATAGTGTATACATAACACATTCCTCTTTACATTTGATATCGAATTTGATACATCCTAATAGTCATTACTGATACTTCTGACATTTCCATTTACTATCGCATCTTAATCACTAAACAACTCACAATACTCTACTAATCTTCTCGTTGGTTTATAACTATTTATTAATTAATAACACATTCATAGTTTTTAGATAATAAATAGAAAGATATAATGAATATATAATGATAATAATAGTAATGTAGGAGAAAAGAGGATTTAACACCTTTGTTATTTTTATACATTTCATATAGACAGCTCAATATAATTTGTTTCTTGGGTTCATTTATTGTAAAGAGAAAACACACAAAACACTGGTGGTATGTTACCGGTTCAGACTGGTTCACCCGAAGCGGTAGTAAAAAAAAAAAGGCCTCCCATGATCAGCTGAGAAGAGGAAAAAAATCCTCAGCTGAGAGGAGAGAGAAGAGAAAAGGGCAGGATCGGCCCTACCTCCTGCCCCTGTGCTTTTCTCTTCTTTATCATCTCAGATGATTGGCGCTGCAGGCCTCAGCTGATGTGAGGAAAGCTGCATGCACGTGGTAGGTGGACGTGCGTTAAGTGCGTACGCATGCACGCATGATCACCGAATCAGTAGTGGAACAGTAGGATCCCACTGCTGGACTACTTGTATATTGTTTTAGCTGTACCTAAACTAGTGGCCACAGTATGTAAAATCAGTTGCATATTGTTACCCTTTAGATAAGAACTAGTCAGATGACCTGGAGTGGATAGGAGCTGTGCGGCATTTATTGGCTGCACCCCTTCATCCAAGGTGGGTCCTCCTTGCACATTCTTGTCTACAAATGTCCAAAGGGAGAGTCATAATCTCATGTTGGTGGTTACAGTCATGCAATCAAAGCCCACAGGGAGTTCTTGACTTATGAACACAATTGAGCCCAACATTTCCATTGCTGAACAAGACAGTTTGCCAGATGAACCATGCTCTGTTTTATGGCCTTTTTATGGCCTGCAGTTGTCCCAAAGGTGGTTTTTCAGGAGGCAACAAGAGTTTCTTGGTTTTTTTTCTTTAAAGACGTTTCACTTCTCATCCAAGAAGCTTCTTCAGCTCTGACTGGATGGTGGGGAATGGAAGGATTTATATTCCTTGCAGACAGCTGGTCATTTGCATCCTTTTAGTCGTTGAAGCACTTGGAGGTTTATCTGTGTCCTCAGGGTCAGCTGATTCGTGCTCCTGGTTCCTATAGTCTGCAATTTTTTTCTCTGGAAATCTATTCCTACGCTTATACCATTCAAATACCGTTCATCCCAAACTGTAACATCTTCAAAGAAAAAAAACAAGAAAGTCCAGTTGCCTTCTGAAAAAGCACCTTTGGGATAACCATGACCTGGATGACTGAGAATCACTGAACCATGGCGGCACAGTGAAGTGCAGTACTGCAGGCTACTTCTGCTGACTGCCAGCTGACTGCAATTTGGCAGTTCAACTCTCACCAGGCTCCAGGTTGACTCAGCCTCCCATCCTTCCAAGGTGGGTAAAATGAGGACCCAGATTGTTGGGGGCAATATGCTGACTCTGTAAACCACTTAAAGAGGGCTGTAAAGCACTGTAAAGTGATGCATAAGTGCTATTGCTGCCTCTACAAACTTTTCCCTGCAGTTCTTCACTTGGGCTCATTCATTAGACATGCCAACAGACAGTTAAGAAATGGGAGGCAAAAAGGTTGATGGTTCTCTCCAATTGAGCACACAGACAGATTCTGCAAGCACA